TCAGCGAGCTGCTTGCCTTGCCCTTAGTTCTGAACTTGTGCATTAGGAAGGGCTTTTAATCTTTAAATGAAAGCTTAGATCTGGGCTGATTGTGATCCCCGGAGTATGTGTTCCCTGGCAGGATGACTAAATCAGATGTTAATTGCTCCTGAAGTCAGCCTTTAATCAACTCATCTTAGTTCTGGCCACTGTATCTCAGTTAGCTACAAACATCTCTCTAGCCTTGCAGCAAGAAAAAAGAAACAGAAACGTTAGGAAGCGTCCTTGCTGTTTTTGTTCTGCGGTCATTTCTGCAGAGAAGCCTGTTAACTAATTAACTTCCCAACTCAGTGGAAAAAAAAAAATCTGTCCTCACACGTGTTAGACATACTGATTTTTCAAGTCCGTTGAGCAATTTCGGGCATGCTAAGAGTGGAGTGAAATACACTTTGCTCTGGCAGCTGAGTGGTTGTGATTACTCCTCAGTGCCCGCTGGTACCTCCCGGCACATCCTTTAGTGTGTCTGTGTGAGCTGCAGCAGCACAGGGCTGTCAGTCAGCTAGCTCCAGTTTGGCTCTGGGCCAGGCGGAACACAGCGAGGTGAGGATGCTGCTTCTGTGGGGTTGGCTGCACAGGTGCTTGTGGGACTTGGCAGATCGTGTCAAGCTTTTGGGTTTTGCCTGAGTTGCACCGGCATTGCAACTGGGGGTTTTCAAGAGAAGGGTAGATGTGGCACTGAGGGACATGGTTTGTGGGCATGGTGGGAATGAGCTGATGGTTGGCCTGGGTGACTTTAGTGGTCTTTTCTGACCTGAATGATGCTGCGATTCTGTCCATGATTATGTGTTTGTGCTGGGAAAGGGTGGCTTTGCAGGCAGCATTTTGCTCCATGCTCACCTCTCCTCTTTCGTTATCTCAGAGCCCACCTTGCAGGTGGACACAGCCACTGCCAACCTCACAGTGCAGGAGAAGGAGTCCTTCCAGCTGGACTGCAGCATTCTGTCCCGCTCCAGCCCCGAGTCTCACTTCGCAGTGACATGGTACAACCTCCGAGCCAAAGAGGTGGGTGGCCGTGCTGAAGAGGAAGAGAAGGAAGACGAGGAGGAGAAGGAGGTGGTGCTGAGCGTGGGCCTTGACGCCATTTTCAGCTCTGGGACAGGTCGCTGGCAGGACCGCCTGTGCTTCCAGCGGCTCTCAGCAGTGCTCTTCCGCCTGACAGTGCTGCAGGCCAGTGGTACTGACACGGGCAACTACTCGTGTCGTGTGGAGGAGTGGCTGGCAGACCCCAGTGGTGTGTGGTACCGGCTGGCCGAGGAGGAGTCAGGCACAGTTGCTGTTCACGTGCAGGATGCAGGTGAGAAGAGTCAATGTCCCCAGGCATCCCACTCTTTCTCTAGGGAATTCTCTAGCACTCGTGTAACTCTTAGTGGGAGATAAACCTGAAACATGGCCTGTGATACCTTTCTTCTGGTGCTCCATTTTCCAGTATTGATGTCTTTCTCATAGCGCAATCTCCTGAATTGATACAGATTAATAAGCGTTTGATTTTATGTTTCTGAAAGTTTGTGGGCTGTTGCATTACAGAAGGTATAAAATGTGATATCTTTCATCTTTTCAGGTTCCACCCTGCAGTCTGTCATCTGCTCCAATGATGCCCTCTTCTACTTTGTCTTCTTCTACCCATTCCCCATCTTCGGCATCTTGATCATCACCATCCTCCTGGTGCGGTTCAAGAGCCGGAACTCCAGCAAGAATTCGGAGGGCAAAAACGGGGTTCCCTTGCTGTGGATCAAAGAGCCGCACCTCAACTACTCACCCACTTGCCTAGAGCCACCGGTGCTCAGCATCCACCCAGGAACCATAGACTAAAGGGGCAGAGGCTCTCAGGGGGACATGCAGAGAGAGAGAGAGGCAGAGGCACGCCAGGAGCCCTGAGGAAGAGTGGTTCTTGTTGTTCTTGTTTCAGTTGTTTCAGCGTCTGTGCTGTGATGCAGCAGCTGAGCTCTGTGAAGCGCACAGCCAGCATGGATGGGAAGGTCTAAGGCTTCTTCCAGCACGTGTGGGAATGCACCCAGCCACTGAGACAGACCAGAGGTCTGTGCGTTTGCTGTACATAGCGGATATTCCTCTTGTTAATTTTTGATGCCATCAATTGTTGTCCTTTGGGACGTTACTTTTTTGTCGTCGTTTCTGTTTAGTCTCCCAAAGAACTGTAGGCTTTCCCCTCTCTCCACGGAGCAAGAAGTTCCTGGGGTGCTTTTGGTCCTGGGACCATCTCTATGGAGGTCAATGTGTCTGTTTACCAAAACAGACCTTGTTTTTCCTCCTTATACTCTGTGCCATGGTGAAGAAGGTCTTTTTCCCAAGGTGTGCTGAGCCAGCTACTCCTCTTTGACATCAGATAACGCCAGGACCATGTCCTGATGGGCAGGTTGGGGTTTTAGGAAGTCCATCTCAAAACTGGCTTTGTCCTCATCATCTTTGTGCCTCCACATTACTGTTCTAGAGAAGGCAGTACTGTTCTGGGAGGAGGCAATTCACCTTTTGGGAGCATTTCCTGATACTGGAGAACCTGAATGCTCAGTGCACTCGAAATTGGGACAAAAGCAGTTTTGTTTGTCTCCAGGAACTGAATGAGGGGATGGAAGGAAGATACCTGAAAGCTCTGACTTTGTTGGTTGCCAAGAGAGTCCTCTTACAGTCCAGTATACCAGAGATTGGCTTCTCCGTGTCTCCATGCTGCCACCTCTGACAAGGCAGCTCCCCTCTGTGCCCTGCTTGCCTGGGATGGGTGGCTGGATCCAGTCTCTGAAGGCTTCAACTTGACCAAAGTAGTGACTAAAGGAAGGGGGAAAGAGAAAGTACCAGAGGTTGGATTCCCAGTCCCTGGGTGGCTCAGCCAAGGAGCCCAGTCACAGACACACAGCGAGGACATGCAGGTAACCTCGTGTCACCAGGGTTCCCCGCTCCTTGCACTGCTTCCCAGCACTAGCTTGGACTGGATAAGGGGCCTGCGGCACATCTATGCCCTGGGGGCTCCCATGTCCCTCTGGGTTGAGAGAAATGTCCTATGTATGTGTCTGTGTATGCCATCTCCAGGACTTCAGGAGGAAGTCAGGAGGAGAAACCATTTCACCGTAAGCCCTCTCTCCTGGCAAAGTCATCTGCTTTTGTTGTGCACAACCTCTGTGACAGGAAATGCTGTTCTTTCTGTGAAAGATATGGCTCTCACAAAGCAAACTGGGGCTCTCTCCACATGGGGCACCTGTGTTCAAGTACCCCATACTGCCAAGTACCCCTGTTGTGTCCTGTGGAGGAAACCGCCTCCTCCCCGATACACCTTAAACATTTTGTCTGGCGGAAGAAAGTGTTTGCCAAAAACGGCCTTTTGTTGTCTTCCTTGATGTCTTCCTGGCAAATCCAGCCATTTATTTCTTGCAGCATGGCTGAAACCAACTGGGGCAGATGGGTGCAACTACAAGACCCCCCGCCTCGTCTGAGAGAGGTGCCATGCCTACAGCTGCTGTCCTCTTCAGGAGGGTCAGACAGATCTTCGAGAAGAGAAGGGAACTTCAGGAGATGCTCTGTAGCACTCATGGGGTTGGTCCCCAATGCCTTGATAATTTGGTGGTGAAGCCTCAGGTGGGAGATCTGCACAGCACATTCTCTAGAAGATGAGCTACAAGTGGAGCTTGCATCTTCCCACATGGATGCAGACAGTCCCATTCCAGTGATGGGGGAGCCCGCCAGACCTTTGATGTCGACCACCTCTACTCCTTCACAAGAATGGTATTTGGTTCTTCCACTGAGAAGCCCAAATTTCACTCACCCTCTGCAAAGTCTCTCTCCTTGAGACATAATTGCTTACTGGCCCCATATGCATAATTATGCATAATATCACCGTTCTATATATATATACATATATATATACATACATACCACGCACCCACGCACTTGTCTTCCCTTTCTGGATAAGAAGTCTGCAAAGAGAGGAGTGGGATGAAAAGCGAATGGAACTGAAGAACCACGACACGAACAACAGCAGCTGCAGCCAGTGGATATTGTTTCATAAATTTAGTGTCACTTGTACATACTGCTTGAGGGTAGGAACTGCAATTCATTTCAGCTTTAAAGGAAAAAGAGAAAGTCAGCAGGAGCTCTTCTTCCAGCGCATGCGCTGCATCTGAACCGAGCTCCTCCTCCCAGCCTGCTGCCTCAACAGCGCTGCCCAGACCAGGGCTCTGGTGGAGGGCTTTCCCCTGGCCCCCTCTCCATGGCCAGAACTGGTCCCTCCCCAGCCCAGCAGCTCTTGCACCAAGCCCAGGCTTTGCCAGGAAGCGGCGCCTGTGATGGTCCAGAAAGTATCTTGCCAGTGACGTTTCTTCATTGTTCTGGCAGTGTGTTGCCCAGTCTCAGACGTCTCTGTTTTTATAGGCGAACTCTAATGAGTTTCAACATTAAGCTTTTCAGACCACTCTCTCTGCTGTAACTTTCTATTATGAACCCAAGATGAAAGAGAGATAGCTTATCCATGCATGATGTCGGAAAAATGTTTGGGATTTTTTTTTAAAGAACAAAAAAAACTTTGTACTATGTTGCACTAAAACATGTTTTATACAACACACCCGAGAACTGTAGTAAACTGTGTTGAAATTGTGACTCATACTGCTGCTGGTGTTTGTCTGATCTGGGCTTTCATTGCGCCTTTATGCACAGTCTCTGCATAGCGGTGTGCTGAATTCCAGAGCCAACTCCCCCTGTTGGGCAGCCTTTCCCTCCAGCCCTGTTCTCCACTGCAATAACTCCATCCTCCCCAGCAGTGCTTCACTACTAATCCAGGTGGAGCCTGTGGGCACCGTGCCCCCTCTGGCTCTCCCAGCATACTCTCCCTTCCCATCTCCTTCTTCATCCCACCATGGAAAATAGCATTTAACAGAGACATTCCAGGGCGATGTATTGAGTGGGACACGCTGTTTTTGAAATTGCTCTTGAAATAATAAGTATTTTACTGTGCAATAGTCTGGATTTGAAGAAACATTTTTTAATGGAATAATACATGATAAGTGGTAAGCAAATAACCATTAACACCAATAACCATCGCTGTAAGCAGGTAAGTATAATTGAGTACAGAAGCTGCTGAAGTTGATGTAAAATGCAACTTCCTAATGTTCTCCTTATACCCACCCTTATCTTCAATACAGGTGTGGTCAGCAGGGCTTACGTCCTCTGTTAACCAAACTGAGTGTGATACATTCCTACAGATATAGCAGAAGTGCCATGAAGCTGCACAATGCACTTGAGATGCAACGGCAGAGTTTCTGTTTCTTTCTATGCTCATACAAAACAGAACAAAAAAAAAAGCAATCTGCTAAAATAATCATGTAAGAAAGCTTTCTTGTTCCTGAGGCAACTGGCTGTTTGCTTGCTCTCCTAGCAGGCTGAGGCAATTTCTGTTGTATTCACTGTGCAGAGGAGGAGAGCTTTTAGAGCTGGTGACAGTTCTCACTGACAGTACAGTACAAGGTAATGAGCTTGTATTAGCCATTGCTGGTTTACTGCAAAGCAGCTCTGCCAGTCCTGTAGTCAGGCATGAGAATCCCTGATCCTCTCCGGCATGCTTAGAGTGGGAGGACCTTGTTTTGGGGCAGCTTGTTTGCATTTTGCTGCCTGTCCAGCTGCTGGAGCATTGCTGGCAGCGCTGCAGTGGGTGCTCCTCCTCTACTTAAGACTCAACCACTGTGCAAAGGAGGAGGAAATTCTCAGCTCAGCTGCTTGCAGGTTGGGTACACTGCTGTATGCTCCCATCAAACCACCACCAAGCCCTCAAATGGTCTCCGTGCTGAAGCGAGCACACTGACAGAAAATGCAAGCCTCATCGTGGCCTACCCTCAAGTACATTAAGCCTGGGAAATACGGTACAACTCCTTGGCCACCTGCTCCAGGCGCTCCCTGTACTCCAGGTCAGTGTAGAGGGAGGAGGCAATGCCACGGAAGCCATGCATGGCCCCCCACCAGCAAGCTGCAATGGCAGCGGTGGAGTCACTGTCTCCCCCGTGGAAGAAAGCACGGTGAGCCAGCTCTGTCCAGGAGTCCCCTGCACCCAGCAGTGCATCGTAGGCAATCATGGGGGCATCGTGCCCACTGCTGCCCCCCCAGCCACTGTAGCTGAGGGAGGTGTAAAAAGAGTCCCTCTCTTCCACACCATACTTGGAGGGGAAGGTGGGTGGCGAGACCCCATCCAAGATGCCTCTCTCTTCCAGGTACGCTTTCCATTGCTTTTCAAAGTAAGACCTAGAATCACAGAATCATTACAGTTGGAAAAGATCACTAAAATCACCCAGTCCAACCACCAGCCCGTTCCCACCATGCCCACTAGCCGTGTCCCTCAGTGCCACAATGGTTCTTGAACACTTCAGGGACTGTCACTCTCCCACCGCCCTGAGCGGCCTGTGCCACTGCCTCTTTCTGAGAAGAGATGTTTCCTAATTTCCAACCTGAACCTACAGTAAGAGGAGTCCTGCTGCCAAATCATACAGCTGAAAACATGCCACCCAAAGAGCCCGGAGCGGCAGCTCAGCATCAAGACAGGCATCCCCCGTTGTTGGAAGGGACAGGATTTACAGTAAGAGGCACTGAGATTTCCCCTATCTTCAGCCACATGGGTGAAGGCAGCCTAGCACCTGCCGCTGTCACCTCAAAGGATTCAAAGGCTCAGACCGAGAACTGAGTCATCCATAAGATTCAGAGTGCCTCTGTGCAGAGCTACACTGGGTGCACGTCCCCATTTGGTTACCACTTTCAGACTGAGCTCAGCCCCTTGCCTGGTTCTGTTCCCCAGCCCAGCTTCTCATCTTTCATCAGATCATGGCTGAGATGAAAAGCCTGGCTGCCTTATATCGGGTCCAAAAAGCGCTACGTGACACTAAACCTGCCATTTGTATGTTAGATGCATTTTTCCCAAACCCGTCAGATCCCATGGCAGGGATGCGCTGCTCTAAGAGTCCACCATAACGTGGCTCCTCAAGCTTAGGTACGAACAGAGCTCACCCTCCTGTGCTCTAGGTTCACTTTGCTCCCCACAGAACCCATCCCAGCAGCTCACCAGTGCTTCATGTTCTCCTCCACGGAGGAACCAGCGCTGCTCACGTAGGCCTTGGCACTCGGCAGCACATCCAGCAGCCGCTTCCCCCAGGCCAGGGGCGGCACGCCATTCACTGCAAGTGCAGTGAAGAGAGCAGAGGCCAGGGAGCCCAGGTAGCCGGTGGGGTTGTGGTGAGTCATCCGGCCGCTCTCAATACTGACTTTCACCAGCGTGTCCAGCTCAGCAGCACGGTGGAAACGCAGCCCGATGCACATGGAGCGCATGGCAGCACCGCAGCCACCCCCGCTGGGGCTGAAGGGAGCCTTCCAGGTCTCCGGTCTTGCCGGGTCCAGTTTCAGTGCATTGTCCATACATGTTCCACCTGGGCAGGGAGAGAGAGCCGGTGCTGGTAACGTGCCCCTCCGCACTGGAGCACAGTGCTTGCCGGTGCTGCATGCAGGGTGGTCTCCCAGGGACCGTTATTTGGCGTAAGGGATTCAGGCTTCCCTGAGAAAACAGCTGCTGTCTCCTGCCTGAAATTGCCAGCGTACCCTGGGTATACATTCCCAGCGAGAGCCAATCGTTCTGGTTTGTGAAAATAATTAAAAAGCCCAGGGAGGTAAAAAACAATCCCCTGCTGATTTATGTGTGTAACCGTTACTGTTAATATTTGCATTTCATGTTTCTTGATAGCATCTGTAAAGCACACGTACTGTATGTGCTAGGTATGTTACGCACACACGGGACTAGAGACCTAGATGGACATAAGCAGAAGGGAAATTTGGAGGGCCATCAGAGCACCTCGATCCCAACTCACTGCAAGAATGAGTATCTCTCCTTTTTTTCCTGATAGCTGTTCAACTCTTAAACAGGAGCCGTTAATGACAGAGAGCCACCATCCTGCCCAGGAATCCTTCCCAGTGCCTCGGCCACTAGGAAATGTTCTCTGCAAGAAACCCAGATCTCCCTCACTGCAGTTTTGCTTTGTCGGAAAGTGATAAATCAAGTACTTGCCTCGTGGCAACAAGGTTGTGTGTATCTGGCTTTGCCGTGTTTCTCCTAACTCAGCTGAAGAACGACTGCAGTTGCTCTCTGAGCAGAGCCACTAGCAGCTAACTGTGCTGAGACTGCAAAAGGTGCGGTGAGCGCAGCCCAGCAGCACTGCCCAGCAGGCAGAAGATTCTGCGTGGCTGAGAGCTCAGACCCAAAGGGCCACACGTACCATACGTATCCCCACAGACCTACCCACCCTGAACTGTTCTCCCCAGCTTGAGACAATGAGTGTTTTCAGGCTTCTTTAACATCCTACCGTAATCAGAGCTACAGTTTTGTTATGCAAAGTATTTCACAGAATTGTAGGTGTTGGAAGTGATCTCTGGAGATCATCTAGGCCAGCCCCCATTTAATAGTTTTCTTAAATTCCCTTCTAATTTTTAAATTATACAAGTGGTGATGGTCCATTCTCCACTCTATTCAACACTTTGTCCCTACTCCTCAGCTCTCTCTTGCTCCAGGCAGACCACCTGGCCCAACCGCAGCCCAGCTCTGCGTCTCCTCAAGTGGGATGGCACACACTGACTTCTCTCTGCCTGCCCTCATCCCTTTCCTATTTCTGCTATTCACTTTTCAAAACAGTGATTCTGCTTTTTCCTGTGCTGCAGTTTTGGTAACACGTTAGTTAGCCCAACACATCCATAGGTAAAGCCACCTGTGCAAATGCATCTAAATTTCAGTATGCAGATACTTTCCTTGACTTCAGCCATGAAACAAGTTGGGAGTGCTAAGCATCCGGTTTGTGTGCAAGGAAGGGCAAACAAGTTTCAAATATCAAATATCAAAAATACATTATTTTTCACTCCCTTTTGCTTTGGCCTTTTTACCTATTTTTACCAGTTCTAAAATATTTCTCCTCCAGCAGAGAATAAAGTCATGAGTGGATTTCAGGTACCTTCATTTGACTTTTTCAGTATGTTAGACAACAGCAAAGCTGGATTTGAAAGGCTGGGGTTCTCCCACCGTTTTGTTCCTCGTGCTCACTTAGAAAGCTGAGATAAGTGGGAGAGCGTATGAAGATTGCTCAAGAAACTTCATGTTACCAGGCATTTCTGCTATCTCAGGTGCAGTTTGACCTGCATGTCCCAGGACCTTGCTAGTCACAGTGAGACACTGCACTACATACTCTGCAGAACAGTTTACTTCTTTACTTGCACACATAAGCTTGGCAATAGGACTTGGTATATGGCTGTCTATTTTACAGCTCCCTTGTAATAATCAAAATACATCCAAATCCAAGCACAGTTCTAAGATTGCCTCCTAGCCATGTGTTAGCAATAAATCACAGTTGGCTGCTGTCAGGAATAAGGTCACATGGATGATTTCATGGTCCTGATCTGAGTGTCTGTAGCATCCTTCTTTTTCTGACAGAGTTGCTACATTATAGGCATATTAGATAGGTGTGGGATGCAAGCTCTGTGCTTGCTCGCTCTGAGTGGTTGCCTCAAACTGAAAATGTAGCTTCACCCTGTTGCTTTCAGACTGTTCATCCAGCCAGCCTGTCAGCTGAAATGAACTTTGAGAATGGGAACAGCCTATGCAAGGGTTCCCCATAGGAAAAAAAAGCAGGTTGCCGATCAGCGCAGCCCACGCTGTCAGGCTACTTTCATTCTCATGAATTCCCCACAGCATGACCCAGGCACAAACCTGTGCTGCAATTTCACCAGCCTCAGCCATAGTATGCCTACGTGCCGGCCTCTGGTGTGATGCTTGTGTCGCACACTGCCCAGTAGATGAGCCCTGCTGCTTTTGCTCGGCCCAGACCCAAAACCTGGCTCTGCCCAGATGTTCTTGATGCATCCTTCAAGGCCAGGTTGAATGTGGCCTTGGGCATCTGATCCACTGGGTGATATACCTGCCCATGGCAGGGAGTTGGAGCTGAGCGAGCTTTAAGGTCTCTTCCAACCCAAACCATTCTGTGATTCTGTGACTTGGCCTGCAGGAGATTTACAGAGGGAAAACTGCAGGGCCACACTTCTCAGCTGGAGGTGGGCATGGTGTTTGATAAGGACTGGCAAAACTGATCTAACTGAACAGTTACGAGGTTCCTTCTACGATGTCTCAAATTAGGCATTGCATTCAAGCCTCTAAAGAAGCTTTCTATGGAATGGATTAGTTCAGTGCTGGCTGCTCCACATCAAAACTGTTAAGAGTGCCAGCAGTATAATTTCCAGCTTTGTTAGGATTAACTGAAAATTGAAGCATTTTTCAAATCGATATGTACTATGTTTATACGCCTATAAGAAGACCCCAAAAGATTGTATTGGACAAAACCATGATTATTAAAAAAGTTGTGCCAATCATCCTATGTGTCCTTAGTTAGATGGACCTCTTGGTGAGGACAGAGAGCAAAGGAACCAGGGCAGCTTAAAATCAAAATCTGCCCAACAAAAAGAAAAAGAACTTCGCAATCCTGTTGAAACTGTGAGGAAAACATTTTGTCAGGGCATTTTTGGGCAGGTTGAGAGCAGGCAACAAAACAGGGCAGAGAAGAAGCGAGACTGTTCTTTCATTAGCTGCAATGAAAGGAAAATGAGGAAGATGACAAGGCTTAAGCTGTTTTGCAATAACAAGCAAACAGTTACTTGCACAATATGCATATTACTTTAGGACATCACCACTAATGCCCTGCAAACGAAAAGAAAAAAGTAGAACGAAGCAGTGCACAACAGCTAGGGCTCTCAAGATTTAAGTAGTACTGTAAATTATGTGCTTTTAAACAGTTAACAAGTTCCATCATTGGAAAACTGATGATGGGAGACTGAGCTGAAATCATGCTCTTGGGCCTTTTGAAAATCAGATTTTGGAGGAACTGCTGTAGGAGTCTCTGAAACCAGAAACTCTGGAAGCCTACTAAATCCTGGTTAGGAATTCTTTCACTAACAATGAGAACTGAAAAGTGACCTGAGGAGGGGACTGTTCCAAGGAAAGAAGAAATAGAAGCAAAAAGTCTGAAGAAAGCTGGATTGAGAAAGTTGCACCATGTACAACTAGATGGTATTTCTGGAATAGAATAATATCATAGAATCACAGAATCATAGAATGCCCTAGGTTGAAAAGGACCATGATGATCTAGGGTCCCCAACCATTAGACCAGCTGCCCAGAGCCACAATAAGCTTTCATTCCATTTATCTAGACTCTTACATGAATGCAAACGGTAACGGTTGGTTAAGAATTGTCAGTACATATAACAAAGGTGGGTTAAAACAACCGTGTAGCCATAGGTAGAAGACTTAGAAACAGAATGAAAGGCAACGTTTTAAAGAAGAAGGCTTACTGGAGAGCTGTGCAGGCCGAGTATTATATCATGAAAAAAGAAATATGGTCGGGGCTGTGACACATCACAAAAAGCCATAATGGGTGTAGGGATTAACTTGGCATTGAATTAAGACAATGAGATAGACGACCTTTGTCTCTGCTGTGACTGGCTGATGACTAATAAAGTTGTGGGAATCCCTTCATTATCATAGGTTTTGGTTTTCAGATCTGGATTCCCTTGCGTAGGTGAGCAATGTGACTTTCCCCCACCATTCTGGGGGAATCTCCTCTCTATTGGGTGAAAATTGCAACAGCAAATTTCCATTCTCAACCTTAAAAGCTGCAATTCCCCAGTGAGTATTCAATTGGTCCAGAAAAGCATCATCTCAGGTTATACTCTCAGTTACAATCTATTCTGAATTGCTGTAACAAGTTACTGACAGGCAACTTCTACTGTTAGGACTTATCATTATGTCACGGAGACCCTGAACTGCAGACAGCTTTTCAGGATACGAATTAGGCATTCCCTTTAGTAGTTTGTTAGTGAGCATTAAACAGCTTGGTCTTAGATTTCAGCTTTCAGAGGCCAAGGCAAGCCCAATTCCTTCCCTGCGGTTGCAGCAGGAGCGCTCCTGAATGTATTTTCAATAGAAAAGAGCATTTTCAATAGACTTCCATTTTTTCCATAGTTTCCCTCCACTCCAAAATGTTTTGATGTCAGTGTCCATGGACACAGTTCCCACTAACTAAGCTTCACATCTTTATTTAGCCAGCTAACCTGGCCTTTCCTTGTTACTCCAATTAGTTGCCGTAGCTCATTTATTTTGAAATCTTTCATTTCCATATGAGAACAGCTCTGGGGCACAGTTACCCACCTAAAGACTGCAGCAGGCATGCTATAAACCATAGCCATTAATTACTAACATTTCAGTTTTAGACTCTTTTCAGCTCAGGTTTTCGTCACCAAACTCAGATGGCAGAGACAGAGTTAGCTTCCAGTTGTTGTCTCACTGCCAGCTGTGGATGCTCCATCTTGGCAGACTCCGTCAGCTAGGGGACCTACAAGACATTCCTTTGCCAAAACAGCAGTGGTTCTGTTGAAGTTTTAACCTCCTGATGGCTGCTATCCTGGCAAGCATCATTACCCCCTCTTAAATATTTTATTTGTCTTAAATATTTTATTTGTTGTCTACTCTGACAACAGAGATTATCCATCTTATGATGGATAAGAATGCTGATACTTGCATCCTTTATGGGAGGGTTGGAGGTGGCCATGGAAAGGTATGCAGAGTAAATTCCTGCTTGAATTTCTTATCTGGCTTACTACGTAGAAACGCACAGCTCTGTCACTCTATGCTCAGTGACCCTAAAAGAATAATGCAAGGTATTTTCCCAGGAAAACAGTTTTAATGTCAAGCTAGAACATTCATGATATATTTTGGCCTTTCCAAATAGGCAAGTCTGAAACCTATTTATTTTTACTGTATAAACTCGGCATTACATCACAGCATTTGAGTGTTTGCTAGGCAGTTTGTGCTGCCTGAAGTAGCTAAAACTAGCCCAGCCTCAATTGCTCATATTTAATTCAAGCATTTGGATTAAGCTGGGCCATCTGCACAGAAAAAGACAGGGTTGGTCAGCAGGCCTGGGTGAACCAGGAATGACAGCAATATATTGCATCAGCTTGGCCACTGCAGCCTGTCCACTTATCGCTCCTCAAGCTGCCGCACCCTGGCCATCCCTGCTGCTTGTGGGCTGAGCTTTGAACACTGCTTTTAGTTCTGTTTCTGCAGAAACAGAACCTGGAGCTACATGACTCAGAAAAGATAACTGTGACCTGACTGTTCAGCTGCAGAAAGTGGACATGTGGAACTAGCCAAAAGTGGGCTTTGGGCTTAGTAATTATTCCAAGCAAGGATTTCTGCACTTGTAAATATATTTTATGTGCAATTTTTAGCATTTATTACCAGAAATTCTATATTAACTCTTTGTTTACATGTTCTGCTTTAAGATGGCTCTTCTACATGGCTGAAATCATGCTTTTCTTTTAGGAATGTAGGAAAAGACATATTCCCAGTGCAAAACCTAGCATTCCTCCCCTGAGCTCAAGACGAGGCCTGAAACACCTGTAAGAATGTCTTATAAATGTGAGCAAAATGTTGTCTTCTCTCATCTAGTTCGGAGAAGCCCAAACCACTCCACCCTGCCTTTTTGCTATTCGCTCAGTTCATCCTGAAACTGGTAATGAGCGTAGAAAACTTTTGGCTTGTGCGTGAAATACAACCAATGCAATCAATAGACAAAAGCAGAAGGTGAGAAGCATGGCCAGCCTTGACTCCAAGCTACAGGAAAGTGAGAGATGCTTAGCCACAAGGAGAGAGGAGGCAGAGGGCAGACCTGCCAAGGCAACACAATGAGAGGTAACCTGGAGCTCTGTTGTCCATGTCATTCATGCACTCCTTGTAGTTCTTTGCAATCAGGGAATAGAGATGCGTTAAATCTGGATTCTTCCCAGCAGCTACCAGGGCTTCGGCCGTGGCCAGGTGCATCACTGTGTCATCGCTGACCCTCCAGCCTTTGATGCTGAAATTGCCAAGTCCCCCCATGGCTGCCAGCTCCTTGTGGATGGCCGGGCCGCTTGTCAGGAACTCCCATTTTGCATTGTAGTAGCCCAGCGTGTCCCCCAGTGCACTCAGCACCATTGACGCCACGTAGTTTTCCATCGATTTAGGACACAGGTTTTGCCCCAGGACTGCTTCAATGTAGAAAGCACTACAAAGAAAAGGGAAAAAAAAAAAAAAAAAAAGAGAGGAAGATAATAAAAAAAATAAAATTATTTCTCGGTTTAGTACAACTACTAAACACCTAACATTCAGCAGCCTGGACACTGGGCCCATCACTTAAAGGACTATATGCCTTCAAAGCACACCCTTCTCTGTGGATATTGGCATGCACGTGCAATGTGCAGGCATGTGTTGGTAAGTCTGTGTGGGGCGAGCAGGGAGCGAGGAGGGGATTGTCTCCCTCTATTCTGCCCTTGTAAGGCCCCATTTGGAGTACCACGTCCAAAACTGGAGCCCCCAGTACAGGAAGGATGTGGAGTTGTTGGATTGGATCCAGAGGAGGCCACAGGGATGATCAGAGGGCTGGAATACCTCTCCTACGAAGGCTAAGGGAGCTAGGCTTGTTTAACTTGGAGGAGGCTCCATGGAGACTCATTGCAGCCTTCCAGTACTTGAAGGGAGCTTACAACAAGGTGGCTGACATTTTACATCATTTGATAGTGACGGGACAAGGGGGACTGACTTCAAACTAAAAGAAAGTTTAGATGTTAGGAAGAAGTTCTTTACTCAGAGGCATTGACACAGGCTGCACAGAGAAGCTGTGGATGCCCCATACTTGGAGGTTGGATGGGGCCCTGGGCAGCCTGAGCTGGCGGGGGGCAGCCCTGCCCACGGCAGGGGCTGGGGCTGGATGATCTTTAATGTCCCCCCCAACCTAAGGCATTCTATGATTCTATGAACATGCAGATAATAAATGCACCTCCTTTCAACGTTGTTGCCAAAAGTAGCTCGCAGGAGCCAGGAGATCAGGCTCCCAGTGACTTTCATACCACAAAGATAACTTGAGAGTGAGCCCCACATTTACATAAGCAGGGTGAGTTTGTCTACCCTTCAGCAACATGGGGCAGGGCAAAATGGGCAGAGAGGGGCTCTGACCAACACTAAGCCTGTACCCAGAGGCTGGCTATAGAAGTGTGCATTGATATCAGCAGTCAGGCACCTGAGTGGGTATCGTAAACAACATTTCCCTTCCAGCCAAAACACTTAAAGCCTGCTGCTTTTTACTTCTGCCCTCAATATGGCTAAAGAACCCACTACTCTCCCTTCACCACTTGACTCAGGAAAAACGCCGAAAGAAAAACCACAGACGCAGCAAATATCTGAATTGTTAATCATCACTGTGAGACTTGCTGGGGGAGAGCTGGCTGCTTCCTGCCCACCAGCTTTGCTGCTACCCATCACCACTACTTACAGGGTCAGGATGGTGACCACGGGATGCCGGTATTTTGCACCACCTCGCCCAACCATCGGACAGGGTACCAGCTGATGTTAACAGCCCCTTCCCTGGCCAGTGCAGATCTCCCGGCAGCTGACGAGGCCTCAAGGATGGCAGTGGAAGCGGCGGCAGCGAGTTCATGCGTCATTGCGCTGCGACAGCCCAGCCCAAAAAGAGGGGGAGGAGGGAGGGAGGCCTGCGCTGGCAGCACGGACGCTCTCAGCCATAGCAGCTGCAGTAGGGCTGTGGAGGAGCCCCCACAGCCGCCCTTGAGAGGAAGAAATCACAGTGGCCATGGTCTCAAAGCACAGAGGAAGACAGAGGCTGCCCCAGCTGCAAGGTGGTAGCCAAAGGGAGCACCATTCCTTGCTGCCCCCAACGACCCCACCATGCTTCACACCCATGGCCCCTCCGGCCTCTCTGCTCCAGTGCTTACACCCTGCAGCCTGGCTGCTCCTGTGTTGGCCGCTGCTTCCTCTTCGGGGCCTCTCTCTCCTTTCATTTTCAGGATTCTTTCCTATCTCATCGCCTTCCGGAGCCAAACAGTTGATTGAGAAATGTAGTCACCATGTGGAAATGAATTGTTTTACAAAAACATCTTCAGCGTCCTCCCTATGCTTCTACTGAAGCTGTGCACTGGTTTTGTGAGCGCACACACACACACACACACACACCCCTTTTAGCCCGACCCACAGCCTCCTCCTGGCTATGAGCACACTTCAGCCTTTAGACCCTGCGAGCCTCCAGCATCTGCCTAGAGCTGCAGCAGGGCAGCTTGGCAGCTTGCTGAGCCAAGCCTCCTCTAGGCTTATCCCTGCCTTGGCTTCTGGCAGCAGTCCTGCTGCCTTGAAGCATCTGGATACCACTGCCTACTGCAAGTTCTGCACTTTCTTTTTTGTCCTGGTGGCAGCTATGTGGCCAAATGTGCACGCATTACTGAATGCAAGGAAGGAAAAGAAGCAAGAAGCAGGAGCAAGAAATGGGAAGGAGCATGGCTTAGGCCCCCCATGTGCAAGGCCCGAACTTTCTCACCAGTGGGTGATCCCTGACATGTGCTGTGTACCACAACTTCAGAGCCCTGATTCATGCAAAGAGGTACCAGCGGCTCATAGACGTGGAAAGAAAAAAATCCCCAATGCCTATGAGAGAAAGCATTGGTAGTTTTTGAGCTGCAGACTTGGGGGATTTCAGTGCAATTAAGAGTGCAGCGCTGGGCGAGAGCAGAGTCCCTGGGGAATTTGGGGGCAAGTAAGAGTGCCGGCTGGAGCTGGGCCTGGGGGATTTCAGGTGGCTGAGAGCACTGAGCTGCACTGAGCATCCAACCCAGGAACTTCATACTTAGTGTCCATTCAGAGCTCTCCTGCTCCTCTGCACCCTGCTGCAAACATGGAGATCTAGAAGCCTCTGGTACAGAAAATAGTAACAGAAAAGGAAGTGGGGAAAGGATTTGCCAGTATCTCAGCAGAGCCAACAGTGCCTTCTGACCTTTTCTCATTCAGACTGCTGTATACAGAGCAGCTTAGAATTTATTCGGGTTGCTGTGACACTTAAAAGCAGAGGTTTGTCTCCTATGGGTTAGGCCTATGAGAGGGAAAACTCCTGCTTTTGGCAGGCTCTCTATGAGGAAGGGCTCCTGCTGCAGCAGTAACAGCTGAGTCACAGGGTTCCCCACATGGACAGGGAAATGGGAGAACTTCTCTGTATTAACACAAAATGCCCGTGATATCAAAATCATTGGATTTTGCCATTGTTTCTGGTACTTCATTTCCTTCAGCCTCCTAGAAACTGAAACCTTGGAGTTAAGATATGCCTTGGAGTTAAGGATGTTTAAGATGTCACCAGAATGCAGTGAGTGCTATTTCCTGAGCAGCTGCCGACCGAAGCCATCATCAGGAGCCTGAGAGTGTGCGGTGGGGAGAGGGGCAATTCTCGAGCTTGAATGCTTGTGCTGATCTCAGAGGAGTCCCAGGGGACACCATGAGGAGAGCTCTCCATCAGGCACACACAAGTCTGGGACAGTGTGGGGCAGAATTGCCCTAACTTGCCCAATGACATGGGGAGATGGGCACCAGTGCATTTTGCATTTGGCAAAGGCAACCTTCTGGTTTGGGGTCATGCAAAGAGTTAAAGAGTCATCATACTGCACCTTTCTGGGTTGTTGGGTGGTTTTGTTTTTTTTGCTGTTGCAGTTTTGTTGGTTTTTTTTTAATGAAAATTTAGGCTGTGGTGAACCAATGGCCAGGATATGCCTTCTGGAAAGTACCAACTTGGAGCAGTTCACCGTGCCACGTGTTGGACACTGTGGTTAGTACTCGCTTAGACTCAGAATTTTCCTTCATGTTCATCTGGAAGAAAAAAGGGTAATTCTCTCTGACTAAAAAAAAAATGTGCCTCTCTAGATGAGCCCAGGATCAAGAGCCCACTGCAGGGGGCTGTGAAGGGCGTGCTTCAGGCTGCATGCCAGCTGAGACCCTGTGGGACATTTCTGCACAGCATCTTCAGGCCAAGAGCTGAAAGAAGGTGCAAATTAAAAGCACATGGTCACAGCTCCAATTTGCTGATGTTTTCAGAATCTTTTCTTTCCCCCGTAGGATTCATAGGTAACTTTCCATGGCGCCTTTTGGGCTCTGATACATGTTCGTTTTGGAGTGGGGCCAATCTCTAACAGCCCATCATTCTTTTAACAGCTCCATTTTCTCTGTAATTTTCCTAAGTGGGGAATACTCCTGGGCTTACCCTAATTCTCAGTCACCTAATTCTCAGGTGTGTGCTTTTGTCACTGACCAATAAATAACAACACACAGTAACAAACTGTGACCAGCAGTCAAAACAGCAGCTGGCAGCACCACATGACTGCTGGGAACCAGGACAGCTTGCTGCAGCCACAGGAACAAATGATGAGGCAGCAGTGCATCACCCCAAGCACACTGTGTGCTCCCTAGGCAGCTAGTGTCAGTGGGTGTTGCTGGCCCTGTACTTCCTTCACCCAAAGCACGGCAATGCACTTCCTGCCTTGGTTTCTCCATCTGGTGAGGCAATGACCCTCGCTTGCTGCTGCCTGTGGTCACGTCAGCGAGCGGCTCTCGCCTCCCTGTGCTGTCCAAGGGAGCCTGGCTGACAAAGAAGGTGAGTGCCTCAACTCCAAATACAGCCTGTGCGTGAGGGGACGCCAGCAGAAAGGCTCTTTTCCAGAAGTGGGATCACACATGGGCGTTTTTGTAAAGTGGCAAGAAAGATTTGACTGAAGCAGAGGAGATGGCAGCAGAGGTTGTGCCTTTGCATCGTAGAATCATAGAAATTGAAAGGAACCTCTGGAGATCATCAGGTCTACCCCCCCCCGCTAAAAGGTTGTTGATCCAGAAAGCAGCAGATGACCGACTTGGTTTCAGGTTTCAGCCTTCGTTTCAGCCTCTTACTCAGGAGACCAGGACACCGGATCAGAAGCATCTGCCTCCTTCTTTTCAAGATCCTTTTTTCCAAGATACTTACACGCTGTCTAAACGAGCATCTGGCTAAGGCAAAAAGGAAACTGAATGACCAGAGTAATCTGTGAATTGTGGCACCTGCCATTCTCCTCAGTGTGCTTCTAAAATCCCACCTTAACATGCTTTTAAGAAATAAAACAATTAAAAAAAAATAAATGAAGTCTTTTCAAGCAACTGCAATTCTGCAGGGAAGAGCATAAGATAAGCAGAGAGTAAGTTCATCTGCTTCATGAGAGCGATGCACTGCAATGCCCATCTGGAACAGTCAGTAATGCTCTCTGTATGAGCTGAGGGCAGCAGTCGTGTCTGGTAAAAGAAACTGCAAATTCATTTTTACTACCCCTCCACTAGGTTTGTAGGTGACTTATTGGTCAATTGGAATGTGTGGGGACAGATACGTCCCCAGCAGAATGTATGCCCTGCCTGGAGAAGTCAGTGAAGCAATTGTGGTCAGCTGCTGTGGACACAGGGCTTGGCTCAAACAGTGGATACGAAGAACAACTAGCTGGTAGGCTTGTTGCTCCTTGATGTAAATAAAGTGACATTTTCACTTTCAGCTGTGTGCCAGTGTTGGCACTGTGCTCCCCACCTGCAGTGTGACAGCGCTTGCAGTCTGCTTTCTTTCCAGTCTGCTGGCAGCTGTGTCTGTGTCCTTTCTGTACATGTGCTGGCTGGGTAGCACACTTGGAGGGGTGTCACGCTTGTGAGCATCAGCCTATCTTATGACCAACTCAGTTCCCAGTCACTGGCAGGTTAATTTGAAGGTCCTAGTTGGGGGTCACCCACCTGCACTAAAGTGAGAGGAATCATTAATTCCATCCAAGGCAGAGAGGACTTACTTACAGAGAGATGATGGCAAACTGGAGGATTGGACAATCACCGCATGGAGCTCGACAAGAGCAAACTCTGGATTTGGCACCTGAGACCGGGCAGCCCTGGCAGTACGTACAGACAGGGGGATGAGGGCTGGAGAGCAGCACTGCAGAGGGGGATCTAGGGGCTCTGGCTGACAGCAAGTTTTATCTGGGTCAGCAACATGCCTTGGCAGCCCAAAGGGCCAACTGTACTCTGGAGAGCATCAGGCCCAGCACTGCCACTAGGTGGGGGAGGGATTGTCTCGCTCTGCTCTAAAGGTTCCTCAGCTTGAATGACTTAAATTGAGACTAGGCAAAATCCTAGATATGATAGGTTAGGAAAAGCCCTGTGGTGGCTTTAAGTTGTTTGATTGGATGATTGTTTTCCACCACAGGGATTTCTGTTATGCCGAGTTGTGACCTGAGCCCCTTCTCTTGTCTTTCTCTTCTGGCTGTTTCTTCACCAGCTCCCTCCAAAACACCGCTGTTCCTGGGAATGACTCCCATTTTAACCGTATACCAAGGTGCATAGAATTAGTAGGAAAATGCTTAGCAAAATGGCCAACAATGCGCAAAAAGTTTGAAGTTTACTTCTGCATTTGATTCTTCATGAATTACATTTCAGAGAATTGGGAAGTGCTGATGTATGACAGAAGAGGAACGCATGAACAAGACCACTGAATGCTCTGTTTTATCCATTAGTGTGACAAGGCTTAAAAATATCTGCTTCCTTTCTGCACTTACGCACTTTGCATGATGCAATTCAGTGGTGATACCACCTTGGTGCATGGAGTTCTGCTG